CCTTTTTTTTTTTTTTTAGTGAAAAACAGTGGAAAGCCTCTTCGATAAAAGATTTCTTTGGCAAAGAGGACTGAAAAAGCCTAACAGAGACTTCTGTTATAGCTGAGGATAGACTGAAGTTTTGACCCTGCGCTGGCTTGCTGGGTTCTGTGACCTGACCTGGTGTCTGACAGTATGTCAATAGTGATGAATTGTGGCTGCTGCCTATTCAGAGAAAATAGCAGTATTGTTGAGCGTGACTGTATTACAGCAGAGTTCAACCAGCGATTCAGTATTAAAAACCGATTCCTTAATTTTTTATAGCTAAGGTAGAAGTTGCACCATGTGGTGGACTCCTTTACAGAACAGCGCAGAAGCAGTTTGACTAGAAAATAAAGACAAGCATCTTCAGCAGATCTGAAATACATGTCTTCTTTGCCTCTTACTCTGTGCTCCGAGTGGGGGGCTAGGGGATAATATTAGACTCTTGAAGTGCTGTAATCTCTTACCAGATCCTGAGCTGATGTGAATCAGGGTAGGCCTGTTGAAGCCATGGCAGCTCTATAGCTTGGCGAGCGTATGGATACGATTGGATAGCTTATAGCTGGTGGAGTTGAGATGACTAAGTATTGAGGTGGGAATGTCGCCATAAAATGCATTGGCTGAAAACAGCCTCTGAGGTTCTCTTCCTATATCATTGTTTCTAGATCAACCTTTTGCAATTTAGAAGTCAAATATTTGAGTTCTAATCCGACAGCCCATCGTGTCTGTGCTGTGGTCTGTTATTTCTGGTATTAACACAGCACAGAGCATTAGTGTTGAACCTTGGGTGCTTGGCAGTGGAGACCGTTTTGGAAAATGCTGGTCTACTTTTTATTAAGTTATCTCAGATCTGTTGAAGAAAGGGATGACGTGAATTGCTGGTGACGATGCGGTTGCGTTATCAGCTCTACGGTAAAGAGAGTATGTGGCGGTGCTGGAAACTGGAGAGAGAGGCAGGCGGGTCAGCCCCTGCTGAGAGCCGTGCTGCCATGGCAGGGTGGTTACTGGAGTTCACCTTGCTGCTAATTCAGGTCTTAGTCTGCACGAACTGGGTATTTCTGCAGTTTTTAAAGCAGAAAAGCTGCCTGCAGTTTGCTTACAGCTGCATGGCTAAAGGGCTCCGCTGTATTTCTGACAACTGAGACCGACTGGAACACATGTAGCAGCTAGGAAATAAATGCAGAACTATGGAACTGGTGTCTTTCTCCATGAGAGATCAGGATCTCTGTAGCTGCCCTGCCCCAGGCTGTCCCCTGTTGCAGTCTCCTGGTGGCAGTGAAGGGCCCAGGCCACCAAGACAATGAAGAATAAGCCAGTGCACGAAATAAAGGCAGTATTGTTCTCCCGCTGATGTAACTTCAGCAATTGTTAATTTCTCTGGCGGCCTAGGGCCCCTGAGTACAGTACATTTTGGTTGTTCTTCCCCTGGTCTCTTATTAATCCTGACATAGTACATGAGCCTTGAGAGATGAATGGGAGGTTTTGAATCCCATCTCCTTGGATGGACAATAGCTTTTCTGTTTTACCCGCTTCCCGCTCACACAGGCATTGCCACTGCGCTGCCAGCACAGGATCAAAAAATCTTGCAAGCAAACTTCTCCGTGGGACTCTGTCCCTACCCTCACAGGTGAATTCCTGACCTTTCCGAGGTTAGCGGTAGACTCCTGTTGATCGTCCCCAAAGCCAGGATTTGATCTATATTTTTGTAGCTAGTCAGCATCAGTCACCCAAATTACAGCAAATGTAGCTGAATCAGGGTGGTAAGTAACAACAGTTTCCCCACATTGTTTCACGGCTGCTCACTGGGTGTTTCCATGTTGCCTACCTGTACTGGGAGGGTGGGGGAATCTTGCAAAGATCTGCTGGGATTTTTGGAGTGTTTGAAGGTCACGTACGCTCACAGAGCGGAAAAATCCTGACTGCTTCTCCCCCTTTCTTGGTACTGCCATTTCTGCAACGGTAGAACTGGCGGCTCCTCTGCTCCCAGGCATTTCAGCTCCTACAGGCTGATTGTTTGGCTTTGATGTTCAGCACGGGGAGAATGTCAGACTTTGCTGTCTCCTAAAGCATCTGTCCAGCCCTAACCAGATGTCTGCAAACGCATCTGGTCGTTGACGCCTGTTCTTTGAGATCCACCTCCAAGCTCGGCGTTCAGAAGCTGATTGCTCCCACTGCTCCCCTAAGCTACCAGCTTGGCTCCGGTGTTTGTTCCGCTCACTCCGTCAGCTCGGCTCTCTGACGACACAACGACTCGGGGGTTGCAGAGAGGAAATAAGCGCTTTTTGTTGTAGTGAGAAGGAGTAGCGCTCAGATGGCCAGTTGTCAACTTACACAAGCAATTATGTCCTGCCTGCAATCCCTAGAGGGTAAATGGCGTGCGCTGGGGTTCTGAAACTTTTCTGGAAAGGGTCTGTGCTGTAACAGGCAGCCTCTTTGCAGCACCCACCCTCTGTATTTATTAAAATATTATTAAATACCCACCGTATTTATGATAGTAACATCACAAAAAATAACAATCTCCATATTAGAAGGAATAACTGTAGATTCTGTATTTACCTCCAGTGCCGTAATCTTTATTTTCCTTTCCATGCTTTAATTCCTTTCCTCCTTTGCTTCCGAGTGCTTGGCGTGCTCCTCCGCTTCTCACATCCGAAGGTTATCTGAGTCTTCGATGCGTCTGCCCCGCACCTTCTAAAAGAAAACAGAGTCTGTGTAATTGTCTGAGCTCTTTCTTGACAGTCGATATTAGGAGGGAACCTGGGGGCCAGTTCCCAAGCTGGGAAGGGAGGGGCAGAGGTTAAAGGTTTCTGGAGGTGCCTGCTGATGCCTCGCTTCAGGGGAGGCATACGGTGACCTGAGCTCACCCTGCAGCGTGTGTGGAGAGCTAAGAATGGACACCAGAACTGGGTTACGAATCCCCAGCTTCATGAAAAGGCCCGAAAGCAACTTCCACTCTATTGTACCCCAGTAAACGTAACCACAGTGCACGTAAGAAGCTGGGCTCTGTTGCTCATGACACAATTAAATTCTCTTGCGTGCCTCCTGCTTGCAGTTTTGTTGCTAGGCAGTGGGCTTGATCTTGGTCTGATTTAACGTCCTTTGAAGGCCTCTCCACTAATACTGCTCTCTGTCTTGCTGCAGAACGTGCGTCGCCTCCTGCAGAACCCCAAGGTGACCGAGTTTGACGCTGCCCGGCTGGTGATGCTTTATGCCCTGCACTACGAGCGGCACAGCAGCAATAGCCTGCCGGGGCTGATGACGGACCTCAGGAACAGGGGTGTGTCGGAGAAGTACCGAAAGGTGATTGCAGCATTGCTCCTTCGGCTGGATGAACGAGTGGGGCAGGAGGGCACAGAGGTGGAAAATCATTGTTAATTGGTGTAAAACTTGCCTGCTTTAGTTTAGCCCGATGCTTTTTTGTTGAATTGCACCTTGCGCAAAGAGCCCTGAGCTTGGCTGGGGCCTGCAGGTGTTACTTTAGAAGGCATAACTAATTACTTAATTTCCATTTCCAAAATGATATTATGAAGGATTGACTAAAGCAGGCATGCCAGGAGTCTGCTAGGGTGGGTGTGTGGCACGTAAATGGGGCCTGGAACTTGCTGCCTTTCTCCTTCGCCTCTCCCTCCCCACCCCTTTTCCCCAGCTCCTGCTG